ATCCTTTCCTGTTCTCGAATTACTAAAAATATCCGTTTTTCCGTGAACTCTGTGTACCTCCTTGGCGCTGGCCTCCTGCTTGGGCTGCTTGGCCTTCCTCTCGCCTTCCTCTTCCTCTTCCCCCGCTTCGCCATCGGAATGCCGCCGTTTCCCTTTCCCTGCGGAGCGAGAAATAAAATAAATAATATAAATATAAATTATAACAATACATTCTAATAATAGATACATATCTACTTTGAGTCTCCTTTGTAGAGAGAAAAATGGGACATAAATAATATAATAATACTATATAATACAACAACAACAATAATAAATTATAGTACTAATAATAAGAAACCTAGCTGCTGTGAGTCTCCTTTGTGGAGAAAAAGAGGGCTATAAATATTATTATTATTATTATTATTATTATTATTATTATTATTATTATTGATAATAGCTACTTTGAGTCTCTATTATATTATAATATATATATAAATAATATATATATAGCTGCTTTGAGTCTCTAATATATTATTACAATATAATATATATTATAATATATATAAGTAATATATATATATATATATTATAGATACATAGCTGCTTTGAGTCTCTATTATATTATTATAATATAATATATATATTACAATATATATAATATATTATTATTATAGATACATAGCTGCTTTGGGTCTCTATTATATTATTACAATATAATATATATTATAATATATATAAATAATATATATATATTATAGATACATAGCTGCTTTGAGTCTATTATATTATTATAATATAATATATATATTACAATATATATAATATATTATTATTATAGATACATAGCTGCTTTGAGTCTCTATTATATTATTATATAATATATATTATAATATATATAAATAATATATATATATATATATTATAGATACATAGCTGCTTTGAGTCTCTATTATATTATTATAATATAATATATATATTACAATATATATAATATATATATATTATAGATACATAGCTGCTTTGAGTCTCTATTATATTATTATAATATAATATATATATTACAATATATATAATATATTATTATTATAGATACATAGCTGCTTTGAGTCTCTATTATATTATTATTATTGTAGATACATAGCTGCTTTGAGTCTCTATTATAATATACACGGTTCCGGCCCCACTTACCTCTCCGAACGCATCTCCACCTATGAACCGGTAAGGACGTTAAGATCGTCCGGGGAGGCCCTGCTCTCGGTTCCGCCGGCGTCACAAGTGCGATTGGCGGGGACGAGAGACAGGGCCTTCTCGGTAGTGGCCCCTCGGCTATGGAATGCGCTACCAGGGGACATCAGGCAGGCCCCTTCGTTACTGGTGTTTCGGAGGAGGGTTAAGACGTGGCTCTATGAGCAGGCATTTGGATAACTATGTGATGACAACCAATTTATTGACGGCATTGAATAAGGAATGAAAAAGGATTATGAGAACGGGATCTGATTCTAATGTGAGGCGTTGATGATTATGTGTGCTGTTTGTGTATGTGTGTCCGATATATTGTTCAGTGTTGCTTTTTATTGTAAACCGCATTGAGTCGCCGCCTCAGGCTGATAAATGCGGTATACAAATGGAGTAAATAAATAAATAAATAAATATGTATTACAATATATATAATTTATTATTATTATTATACATAGCTGCTTTGAGTCTAATATATTATTATTATTATTATTATAGTTACATAGCTGCTTTGGGTCTCTAATATATTATTATTATTATTAATATATATAATATTTTTATATATATATTATAGATACATAGCTGCTTTGAGTCTCTAATATTTATTATTATTATTATTATTATTATTATTATTATTGATACATAGCAACTTTGAGTCCCTATTGTGGAGAGAAAAAGCAGGGTATGAATAAACATAGTAATAATAAGCCTGTCAAGTTGGTCCCAGTGGTGATCGGCACGCTGGGTGCAGTGTCTAAAGACCTTGGCCTGCACTTAAAAACAATCAGCGCTGACAAAATCACCACCTGTGAATAATAATAATAATAATAATAATAATAGAGATAGTTATAGCTGGGTCCTGTTAATAAATAATATTTCTACAATAATAATAATACATAGCTGCTTTGAGTCTTTAATATATTACTATTATTATTATTATTATTATTATTATTGATACATAGCTGCTTTGGGTCTCTAATATATTATTATTATTATTATTATTATAGATCCATAGCTGCTTTGAGCCTCTAATATATTATTATTGTTATTATTATTATTATTATTATTATTATTATAGATACATAGCTGCTTTGGGTCTCTAATATATTATTATTATTATTATTATTATTATTATAGATACATAGCTGCTTTGAATCTCTAATATATTATTATTGTTATTATTATTATTATTATAGATACATAGCTGCTTTGGGTCTCTAATATATTATTTATATTATTATTATTATTATAGATCCATAGCTGCTTTGAGTCTCTAATATATTATTATTGTTATTATTATTATTATAATAGATACATAGTTGCTTTGGGTCTCTAATATATTATTATTATTATTATTATTATAGATACATAGCTGCTTTGAATCTCTAATATATTATTATTATTATTATTATTATAGATACATAGCTGCTTTGGGTCTCTAATATATTATTTATATAATTATTATTATTATTATTATTATTATTATTATAGATACATAGCTGCTTTGAATCTCTAATATATTATTATTGTTATTATTATTATTATTATAGATACATAGCTGCTTTGGGTCTCTAATATATTATTATTATTATTATTATTATTATTATTATTATTATAGATCCATAGCTGCTTTGAGTCTCTAATATATTATTATTGTTATTATTATTATTATAATAGATACATAGTTGCTTTGGGTCTCTAATATATTATTATTATTATTATTATTATTATTATTATAGATCCATAGCTGCTTTGAATCTCTAATATATTATTATTGTTATTATTATTATTATTATAATAGATACATAGTTGCTTTGGGTCTCTAATATATTATTATTATTATTATTATTATTATTATAGATACATAGCTGCTTTGAATCTCTAATATATTATTATTATTATTATTATTATTATTATAGATACATAGCTGCTTTGGGTCTCTAATATATTATTTATATTATTATTATTATTATTATTATTATTATTATTATTATAGATACATAGCTGCTTTGAATCTCTAATATATTATTATTGTTATTATTATTATTATTATAGATACATAGCTGCTTTGGGTCTCTAATATATTATTATTATTATTATTATTATTATTATAGATACATAGCTGCTTTGAGTCTCTAATATATTATTATTGTTATTATTATTATTATTATAGATACATAGCTGCTTTGGGTCTCTAATATATTATTATTATTATTATTATTATTATTATAGATACATAGCTGCTTTGAGTCTCTAATATATTATTATTGTTATTATTATTATTATTATAGATACATAGCTGCTTTGGGTCTCTAATATATTATTATTATTATTATTATTATTATTATTATTATTATAGATACATAGCTGCTTTGAGTCTCTAATATATTATTATTGTTATTATTATTATTATTATAGATACATAGCTGCTTTGGGTCTCTAATATATTATTATTATTATTATTATTATTATTATTATTATTATTATTGATACATAGCTGCTTTGTCTCAAATATATTATTATTATTATAGATACATAGCTGCTTTGAGTCTATTATATTATAATATATATATTACAATATATAATATATATATTATAAATACATAGCTGCTTTGAGTCTCTAATATATTATTATTGTTATTATTATTATTATTATAGATACATAGCTGCTTTGGGTCTCTAATATATTATTATTGTTATTATTATTATTATTATAGATACATAGCTGCTTTGAATCTCTAATATATTATTATTGTTATTATTATTATTATTATAGATACATAGCTGCTTTGGGTCTCTAATATATTATTATTTTTATTGACACATAGCTGCTTTGGGTCTCTAATAATAATAATAATAATTATAGATCCATAGCTGCTTTGAGTCTCTAATACATTACTATTATTATTACTATTATTATTGTTATTATAGGTCCATAGCTGCTTTGGGTCTCTAATATATTATTATTATTATTATTATTATTATTATTATTATTATTATTATTGATACATAGCTGCTTTGAGTCTCTAATATATTATTATAATATATTAATTATTAGTTAGCTGGACGTCAGGAGATAATGTTTCTGGAACATGACCATACAGCCCGGAAAACTCACAGCAACCCAATGATTCTGCCCATGAATGCCTTTGATATATATAATCTATATATATAAATCTGTAGGGGGCGTCGTACGGCGTCGCATAACTCCACAACCCCCCAACGGAACTGAACCAAAATTCCCATGCCCCTAGGACAACCCACTCGCTACAAACTAATCTACTCCAAAGTAAAGAAAACACAACTGCAACGACGAAAACACCACAAAACAACTGAACATGCGCACTGGCGCAAACTCCCCGGCACGCGCGCACCCGCCGCCCCTCGCCCCCCCCCCCGGCGGCACACACGCGCGCGCGGCGGAAACTCCCCGCCACGCGCACACCCGCCGCCCCTCACCCCCCCCCGCGGCACACGCGCGCGCGTCGGAAACTCCCCGCCACGCGCGCACCCGCCGCCCCTGCCCCCCCCGCGGCACACACGCGCGCGCGGCGCAAACTCCCCGCCACGCGCGCACTCGCCCCCCCCCCCCCCCCCGCGGAATTACCGTTGAAAGGGACAGTCCAGAAGACATCAGAGAAGAAGGGAAAGAGAAGGAATGAAGGAGCCACAGGGGGAAGGAAGGAGAAAAGGACATAAAATTAAAGGTAACAGAAGGAAGGAGAGAAAGACAGAGGGAGGGAGGGAGGGAAGGAAGGAAGGAAGGAAGGAAGGAAGGAAGGAAGGAAAGAGGGAACGAGGGAAAGGCCGACGGCGGGCCAGGAGGGGCCCGGCTCCGCCTCTGCCGCCTCCTCCTCGCCAGGGGGATCCAAGACAGAGAGAGTTCCCTACTACCGTTCCTTCCAGACAGGGGTCTGGCCCGCTGTCATACCGGTTGTGGGTCCACCACCAGAGTCGCCCACAACATCACGGAGGGGAAGGGGGAGGCAGAAACAGAACGAAGGGAGGAATGAGGGAGGGAGGGAGGACGAGAAGGAAGGAAGGAAGGAAGGAAGGAAGGAGAAGGAGGAGGAGAAGGAAGGAAGGAAAGAAGGAAAGACAGAAGACATAAAGGAAGGAAGGAAACAAAAAAGGAAGGAAGGGAAGCAGAAAGGGAAGACTGAAATGGGCCACAGCAACGCGTGGCAGGGTACAGCTAGTAATTTATAATAATTTGACGTAAGGCATAAATAAAGGCGATTGGGAGTTGAGAACACCTTACCCGCGAGGTTGGTTTTTTGGGGGGCGTGGGTGTCAGTCTCGAGGAAGGTGGAGGCATCAGAAGAGGCGGAGCCTTGGCTTTCGCTGGGGGTCGAAGGGCACCGCTGGACAAAGCGAGTGTCGGCCAGGCGCACAAAGGTGGCCGAGACTTCGCCGTCGTCCATCGTTTTTCCCTCTGGGAGGAAAGAAAACGACAAGGTCTAGAACGGGATCCCACTTCCACTAGGCCAGAGGTTCTCAACCTTTCTAACACCAGGACCCCTAAATATGGTTCCTCATGTTGGCCTGCGTCCTTGGGGCAGGGCCAATGGAGGCGGCCTCGCGACCCCTCCAAAATGGCCAGGCGAACCCCCTGGGGGCCGCGACCCCCAAGTTGAGAAGCGCTGCACTAGGCAAATATTTCAAGGAAATATTCAGAAGTAGCCTATATTAGCATATATATATTCCACATTAGACTGTTATTGTTATAAAGCAGAGGCTGGGTGGACATCTGCCGGGAGGGCTTTGACTGTGTCTTCCTCAAAGGGGCTGCTTTGGGATCTCTTCCTCCTTTGGGATCTCTTCCAATTCTAGGACTCTATTATTATTATTATTATTATTATTATTATTATTATTAACTAGCCATCCCCTGCCACGCGTTGCTGTGGCCCAGTCTGTGTATCTGTGTATTGTGTGTGTATATATTCATGTATATGTGTATATACGTGTGTTTGCATATATATGTGTGGTTTTGCACATGCGTTGTAATGTATTTTTTGTTTTTTAGCTTTTTAAGTCTCTATATCCTGACACGATAAATAAATAAATTGTTATTATTATTATTATTAACTAGCCGTCCCCTGCCATACGTTGCTGTGTATCTGTGCATTGCGTGTGTATATGTGTGTGTGTATATTTGTTTATTTATTTATAATTTTTAATTTTAAATATTTTTTTTATTTATTTTATCATCGTTCAATACATTTGTTATACATTGTCTATTTTACATCAGATACATATTATTCAATACAAACTACCATACTTTTAACTTTGGGCATCTACTGTTATTTTTCTGCTTATACATATATATTTATGTATATGTGCATATACGTCTGTTTGCATATATAATATGTGGTTTTGCACATGTGTTGTAATGTATTTTTTGTTTTTTAAAGTCTCTTTATCCTGACACAATAAATAATAATAATGATAATTATTATTATTTATAATAATACATAATAATATTATTTGGAGAGGCCATAATAATAATAATAATAATAATAATTATTATTATTATTATTATTATTATTATTATTATTATTATTATGGCCTCTCCAAATAATACATGGTTTTGCACATGCGTTGTAATGTATTTTTTGTTTTGTTTTTTGGCTTTTCAATAATAATAATAATAATAATAATAATTATTATTATTATTATTATTATTATGCCTTCTCCAAATCCCCACTGGTGCCATGAGTTATCTGAGACTCTATTGTATTATTCTTATTAATATTATTGTTGTTGCTTCTCTCAATTCCCATGGGTGCATTGGGTTATAGACCACTTGGAAGTTTTCTGAGCAGAGGCTGGGTGGTCATCTGTCGGGAGGGCTTCGTTGGTGTCTTCCTCAACAGCAGGGGGATGGACTGGATGACCTTTGGGGAGTCCCTTCTAACTAAAGCACAGATTGGGAGTCCATTGGAGTCTCCTTCTTTCTCTGGGGGAGATGGCTAGATGGCCATCTGTCGGAGGACTTTGATGTGTTGTGATCCTCAATAATAATAATAATAATAATAATAATAATAATAATAATACTATATTTATACCCCGCCACCATCTCCCCAAGGGGACTCGGGGCAGCTTACATGAGGCCACACCCATCAATACAGTAAACACAATATAAACACAAAAACGCAACAGAAAATCTGAAAATAAAATAACATAAAATACAAAAACAAATGTAAATAAACAACAGGGGGCTGGACTGGATGATCTTTGGGGCTTCCCTCCAACTCTAGTGGTATATAGACTACTTGGGATGCTGGGCCCATAACCCAACTGTCAGTGGCATCGGCAGCACAGCAAGGCAGGAACAGACCAATCTCAGCCACTTTAGGCTATAAACTACTTTATTTTACAGCTCTATACATTAGAAGCTCTGGAATGCAATAGGTGTGGACTAGTACTGATAACTCAGCGCATCGTAAACTTGCTTCTTTTTCGTCCGATCGAAACATTGCGAACTCACTAACCATTATCAGTACTAGTCCACACCTCTTGCATTCCAGAGTAAGGTATGGCGCTTCGTCCATTTGTTCTATACACTTGATTTATGACCTCTCTAGGAATGCCATTCCCTCCATGGTTCAGTTAACTCTTTCCACACAGGGATACATTACACTCGGCACATGACTATGACATACATACATACATACATACTTTGAAATCCACATTATAAATGACAAACAACTTCAACATGGGAGTCCAGTGGAGGCTACTTCTCTAGAGTTTTCTTTTGGGAGGACTTTGTTGGTGGGGTCCTCAAAAGCAGGAGAAAGGGTCTGGACTGGATGACTCTCGAGGCCCCTCCCAGCTCTGCGATGCTCACCCTCCATGGTGTCGGTCAGCCGGTCGGCCACCTTCCTGACCAGGGCGCTGCGTGGCATCTGCCCGTTGAGTAGCAGCTCCTCCACCAGGAGCTCTCCCGCGTCGCCGTAGAGGGTCTTGGCCATGTAGATGTAGCGCGGGAAGCGCAGGAGGCGCAGGACGCGCCCGCAATGGGCCTCGTACTCCACCGCCGCACCGCGCCTCCGCGGCGCATGGAAGGACACCAGGCCGTGATGGATCAGCACGCATAGCGCCTTACGCACCTGCGCGAGAAATCGGAAGCGTCAAAGAAAGGACTGTCCTCCAGATAGAAAGATAGACACACACATACGCAGCCAGTCCCCAACTGACAAATGGCTCCTAGTTAAGAACAATATGGTTGAGACAACAGGAAGTGAGAGGGATCTTATATATTTGTGGTAGTATTATATTATTTTATATTATGTATTACTAGCTGTCCTCTGCCGCGCGTTCCTGTGGCCCAGTCTGTGTATATGTATTTTGTGTGTGTGTATATGTGTGTATATATTTGTTTATTTGTGTGTTTACATGTGTACAGGCATATTGCGTATGTGTGTGCCTGTCTATATGCATATATATGTATGTTTGTGGATATGTATGTGTTTTGTGTGTGTGTATATATGTGTGTGTATATTTGTGTTTGTGTGTATATATATATATATATATATGTGTGTGTGTGTGTATATATTTGTGTATTGTGTGTTTACGTGTACATGCATATTGCGTATGTATGTGCTTGTCTATATGCATATTTGTGTGTATATGTACGTATGTGGATATGTATATGTGTTTTGTGTGTGTATATATGTGTGTATGTGTGTGTATATATTTGTGTATATATGTGTGTTTGCATATATTTGTGTATATATGTGTGTTTGCATATATTTATATATGTGTATATGTGTGTATATATTTGTGTATTTACATGTGTACATGCATATTGCGTATGTGTGTGCCTGTCCATATGCATATTTGTGTGTATATGTATGTATGTGGATATGTGTATATGTTTTCTGTGTGTGTATATATTTGTGTATATATGTGTGTTTGTGTATATATGTGTGTGTGTATGTGTGAATATATTTGTGTATTTGTGGGTTTAAATGTGTACATGCATATTGCATATGTGTGTGCTTGTCTATATGCATATTTGTGTGTATATGTATGTATGTGGATATGTATATGTGTTTTGTGTGTGTATATATTTGTGTATATATGTCTGTTTGTGTGTGTATATATATATATATGGGTGTGTTTGTGTGCATATATTTGTGTATATATGTGTGTTTGTGTATATATATATGTGTGTGTGAATATATTTGTGTATTTCTGTGTTTACATGTGCACATGCATATTGCATATGTGTGTTCTTGCCTATATACATATTTGTGTGTATATGGATCAGTTCCACCTTGTCTCTTGTGCTATTCTAATAATATAATATAATATATTGTATATGCATATAATATTTATAATATTATAATGTAATGCAATATAATGCTAATAATAATATGATATTATAATTATGTATTTATATTACATATAATATTACTAATAATATTACGATATAGTGGTATGGTGCCATATAGCAATGTTTAATGCTGATATTGTACTATGCTAATAATATAATATATTGTATGTAATATATACCTTGTATGCCGCTCTGAGTCCCCTTCGGGGTGAGATTGGCGGCGTAAATAAATAAGTAATAAATATATGTATGTATGTGGATATGTATATGTGTGTGCATGTGTATATCATGTATGTGTGCATTTGTATATGTATATATGCAGGTGTATGTGTGTGCTTGTGCATATATATATATACGTGTGTGTGTGTGTGTATGAATGTGTGTATGTGTATATGTATATATGGTGTATTTTTTGTGTCTTTAAGTCTCTTCTGCTGGGGTTTTGTGTGTGTGTGTGTGTGTGTTTATGGGTGATGGACACTCGTTGGACTGTTAGGTATATTGTGTCCAAATTTGGTGTCAATTCGTCCAGTTGTTTTTGAGTTATGTCAATCCCACAAACGAACATTACGTTTTTATATATATAGACTAGCGGTACCCTGCCACACGTTGCTGTAGCCCACATGGAGGTTCTGTGTGGGCTTGGCCCAATTCTATCGTTGGTGGGGTTCAGAATGCTCTGTGATTGTAGGTGAACTATAAATCCCAGCAACTACCACTCCCAAATGTCAAGATTCTATTTACCCCAAACTCCACCAGTGTTTACATTTAGGCATATTGAGTATTTGTGTAGAGTTTGGTCCAGATCCATCATTGTTTGAGTCCACGGTGATCTCTGAATGTAGGTGAACTACAACTCCCAAACTCGAGGTCAATGCCCACCAAACCCTTCCAATATTTTCTGTTGGTCATGGGAGTACCGTGTGCCAAGTTTGGTTCAATTCCATCGTTGGTGGGGTTCAGAATGCTCTGTGATTGTAGGTGAACTATAAATCCCAGCTACCACTCCCAAATGTCAAGATTCTATTTACCCCAAACTCCACCAGTGTTTACATTTAGGCATATTGAGTATTCGTGTAGAGTTTGGTCCAGATCCATCATTGTTTGAGTCCATAATGATCTCTGGATGTAGGTGAACTACAACTCCCAAACTCGAGGTCAATGCCCACCAAACCCTTCCAATATTTTCTGTTGGTCATGGAAGTCCTGTATGCCATGTATGGTTGAATTCCATCATTGGTGGAGTTCAGAATGCCAAACCCTTCCAATATTTTCTGTTGGTCATGGAAGTCCTGTATGCCATGTATGGTTGAATTCCATCATTGGTGGAGTTCAGAATGCTCTTTGATTGTAGGTGAACTATAAATCCCAGCAACTACAACTCCCAAATGTCAAGGTCTATTTCCTTAAACTCCATCTGTGTTCATATTTGGGCATATGGAATATTCGTGCCAAGTTTGGTCCAGATCCATCATTGTTTGAGTCCACAGTGCTCTCTGGATGTGGCTGAACTACAATTCCCAAACTCAAGGTCAACGTCCACCAAACCCTTCCAGTATTTTCTGTTGGTCATGGGAGTACCGTGTGCCAAGTTTGGTTCAATTCCATCATTGGTGGAGTTCAGAATGCTCTTTGATTGTAAGTAAACGACAAATCCCAGCAACTACAACTCCCAAATGACAAAATCAAATTTTTTTTAGTGAAGGACATACATTGGGTTGTTAGGTGTCCAGTGGTCTTTGAGTTATGCTAATCCCACAAACGAACATGACACTTCTATTTATATAGATATCATGTATTATTAGTATGATGTTTATTTACGACATTTACGATACATTTACGATACGAAGGGACAATGGCTGATGCCACCCCATTTGCGATACACCTGACGTGGTGATGACTGAGCCGTTACCTGGTGGAGGGGCCTGCGTGCCTGGTGGGCCAGGACCCCCAAGGGCTGCCCCCCCCTGCGGATGAGCTGCGTCCCAATGGCCCCCACGATCTCCCCAAAGTGTTCGCGCAGGAGGAGGGAGCACAGCTGGATCTGCGCCTGCGTCATCTCCCTTTCGCGGAAACGGAGCGCCCTGGAAAACATTGGATTGTATCATCATCATCATCATCATCATATTCTTATTATTATTTACACCCTGCTTTTTCTCTCCACAAATTAAATAAATAAATAAAGGAGACTCAACATTGGAAGCATATATATACTTTTGACAACCTCCTCCGAAGCAGTATCTCCATACACACACACACACGCACATCCATCTATGTATTTCCATGTATATATCCATCCATGTATTTAGATAGTCAGGGTGGTACACATATATTCCTACACCTCTATATAGATATGTCTTCATATATATATACACATACATACATACATACACACACACACACACACATATATATACATACAGACATACATTTAGACATATATAATATATATTTTATTTTATATTATTGCTTATGGATATACACACATATATATGCAAACATACATATATATGTGTATATATATACACATGAGGAGACAGCAGGGACTGGATTGACCTTGAAGGAGCTGGGGGTGGTGACAGCCAACAGGGAGCTCTGGCGTGGACTGGTCCAGGAGGACATGAAGAGTTGGGGACGACTGAACGAATGAACAACAATATATACACATATATATGCAGGCATACATTTAGACATTATTATATATGTCTAAATGTATGCCTGCATATATATGTGTATATATTGTTGCCTGCATATATATGTGTATATATTATTTATGTGTATATATTATTTATATTATTTATATTTTATTTTATACTATTGCTTATGGATATATACACATATATATGCAGACATATATATATATATATATATATATATATATATATATATATATATATATATGCAGGCAAACATTTAGACATATATAATATATATTTTATTTTAT